GGAGAAAGCCCTTATTATTATCTGTGGTCGTTGATTTGCCTCGCTCGGTAAATATTACTTGGGCATGCACATCGCGCAGCGCACACTACTGAGGTTCCCAACCCAGTAACTGAGGCTGGGTAAGAGACTGACTCCTGCACACACGTCCGAGGCGCCACCATCACCCAGACGAGCGCGCGGCGGCAACCAGCAATCAACCCTTAGTGCGCAATGACACTTGCCCGATTGGGAGCAGGGCGCCTCGCGTCCGAATGCGGATCGGGGACCATGTGGGCCGCTAGGTAGTAGGCGTCACTCGTTGATGCCGTCGTCCGGTGCGGGTCAGCTGAGTGTACCATATTTCATCATTCCTGGCCCGGCGGGCGGGCGGTCGGACGGGCTACGGCCGCTGCATACTGTAAGCACAACTTACACGTACTAGTATAGTCAGGGCGCTGGTCTCGGGACTGTGCGGCCGACCGCAACGGCGTCAAGCGACACCTGCCCGACATCCCGACATCTGCACCGGTTGCATCTGCCTCGATCGACTACTGTCATTAAGCCACAGGAGGCTGGCTACGAGCTGATCTGGGCTGATCTTCCTGGATAGGCTGCCTCCGGCCTCGCGCAAGGGGACAGCATATGAATGTGTAGGATACGGGGGAGGGGGGGCGCAGTGCGGATGGGGATGATATATACATGGGGGATACAGATACAAGAGGCGGCTAGAGGGTCGTGGTCGGTGGGCTCTAGGGCTGCAGTAATCAGCAGCGGCTGGAAGCAGAACGGCAGCACCGACCTCGTAGTTCCCGACGTTGAAGCTGCACATCGCGCGTCAGAACGAAACAAGCAAGGGGCGTACGCGTACTGCACATGGTCGCCCTCGCCGAGCGTGAGGCGCACGGGCAGGCGCGGGTCGATGCGCACCGGCGCGCTGCTGCCGACGAAGAAGTCGCCGCGGCTGAAGTTGCGCGTGATCGCGGCGGTCTCCTCCTCGGTGAGCGTGCGCGCGCGCTTCGCGGGGCGGAAGGTCGAGGACGACGCGCCGGTGAAGGCGCCGTTGTAGTCGTAGTACTGCTGGTGGCTGAGCGTCATGCCCGGGGCCTGCGCCGCGCCTGCGCCGTACACGGGCGGCGGCGGCGCGAACGACGCGCCCGACGCGGACACAGGCGCGGGGGCAGCGTCTGCGGGCGGCTCAGCGCGGTGTTTATTTATTTATTTCGGCGACGGGACGTGCCTGCGCGGTCATGCTGCTGCTCCGTCTCGGGATCGGGGTACGCGCAGGAGGCGCCGAGGCCCCGTTTAAGGCAGTTCTGCGGCAATGTTAGCGCGCGAATGGGCGCTAGCGATCGCTTGCCTGGCACGGGAGGCTCTCGCTGCAGCGTGTTTTTCCCGCGTGGCAGGCGACACAGGCGCGACGGACTGAAGGCCCTTTGACTGCTTAAACTCAATCCGGAGCGACGAGGAGGGGGAGGTAGACGCACGCTTGCGGGTGGTGGTGTCGCCGGGGGACTGGGAGGGCTGGACCTGTTGCAGCTGTCCCTGGTGCTGGGGATGCTGGGGGTGTGGCGGGTGCGGCGGGTGCGGCGGGTGGGGGTGCTGGGCCTGTGGGTCGGCAAGGTCTTCGGGGTGGGCCGACATCTGGACCGAGACGCGGGCGGCAAGGACGGGCGCGGCGTCGGCGAGCGAGTCCGGCGTGACGATAAGAGATATCGAGTCACACACAAGTCACACATCGGCCTTGCTTCCCACGACCATCACCGCCCCGATTCTCGGCGACATTCACCCTCGTTTGCTCGACGCTGTCCATGCAGGATTCCTGTGGGTATTCCACGCCATAGTTGGCCACGAACTGAAGAAACCGGGCAGTCCCAGTCAACGTGAGTGGTCCGTGCGACCCCCTTCCCTTCCTCAGATGATGCCCCGGATATATGATGCGCGAGTCGGTTACCCTCGTACCGAGTTCCGAAATTTGCGCTCCATCCAGGTTCTAACATCCTTGATACTCACTGATGCAACAGCAGCAGACCAACCATGTCTCTCTCTCCCCCACCACCGCGTCCCGACTACCCGGACTTTAACTTCGACTTTGACCCCGCCCTCTTCCCGAATCCCCCACCGCTTCCGGCGTCCGCAGACCTCTTTTCCGCAGCAGAGACGACGGACCTGTTCGGATTCCTCGACAACTTTAATGATTTTGGCTGGGAGCCCGAGCAGCAGCAGCAACAGCGCCAGCAGCAGTCAGCATACACTTCCCCCCGCGCCCCGTACACGAACCCGCATCTGAACACCGCTCCCGAGCCATCGACTTCGGGGCGGCCGCGACGGAGCACCCGTTCAGCGTGTGTCCGTGCGCCCCCTCCACCCCCACTGCCCCAGCAGCAACAGCGAGAACACTCCCCGCGACGCAACAGCGAGACGCCGAGCAACGCCTCCGAGTCCTCGTCCTCGCTCGCGAACGACCAGCCCACGGGGGACGGGTCCGCTGCTGCTGCTGCCGCCGCCGCCGCACGCGCAAAGCCCCTGCTCTCGACGCCCCAGAAGCGGCTAAACCACATCATGTCCGAGCAGAAGCGGCGCAACGCCATCCGCGATGGCTACGCGCAGCTGATCGCGTTGCTCGCGCCGGCCGGATCTGTCCCGGGGCTGGGGATGCCCCAGCGCGGGCGGCCAAAGGGGAGTGGCAGCCGCGGCAAGGGTCAGACCAAGGGGAAGAGCGGCGTGCTCTTTCGTGCGGTCGAGTACATCCAGTGGCTGGAGGAGGGGCGCGATGCGCTGCGGGACGAGGTCTACCGCGTCGAAGCTGCTGCGGGGATTCGCGAGAATGGTGCTCGGTGACGGGTGTAAATGAATGGCTGGACGTGGTGGGAATTTCTACTGGGCATCGGTGAGCACCCTGTCCTGCACCTCGTCCTTGCCCCAGCGCTGACTCGGGACGCAGAATCACTATTATCATTATAATTCATGTACAGCAAGTCGTGGTCGCATTGTATCTGGTATCCGAATGTTGTTCAACTTGTGCAATCGGCGTCGTTATCGGCGCCCACTGTGCCCTTGCTCGCTGCATCCAGTGGGCTCTGTCGTAATGAGTACCGCGCGCTGATCCACGGTTTTTCCTGGCGAATGACATGTGTAGCGCCTCTAATCTGCTCTAAAATCATCCCTGCGTCTCATGGACCTACGATGCGTTCTCGCGATGTTCGCCTGTCGGTTCAGTGTCACGGTCGGATGTCTCAGTCCTCGTCGTGTTCACACAGGGGGTGGCAGTATACTTCCCCGGATCAGTCTCAGATAAGATAACGGCGGCCCTTCAACTCATGCCTCCGACCCCGACACCGCCGCCCGAGTGGCCCCTCCCGAAGTTCACCCTGCGCGTCGAGGACCTCGCTCACCCCGGCGCTGCACTGTTCCTCGCGCACGTCGAGCCCGAGGCTGCCCTCCGCGCCGCCGTCCTCGCGAGCTTCCAGTGGCTGTACGCCACGCCTGCGTGTGCGCCGACCAAGTGCGCACGCTTCCTGCCCACCATGCTCCCGACGACCACCCGCTGACGGCTGACGCCGCTTAGCGTGCGCGCGATCCTGCTCGTGCTGCGCCCCATGGACGGCGTGGCGTACACCTCCGGCTCGCACACGGAGAAGGAGATCCACCTCTCGCTCGACCATATCGTCAACAGCGCCGCACGCGCGCGCGCAGAGATCCTCGGCGTTCTCGTGCACGAGGTACGCCCACCCCTTCGCCCCTTCTCCCCCCGCCCAGACGACTGTTTCACCCGCTCCTATTGCCAGGTCGTGCACTGCTACCAGCACAACGCGAAGGGCACCGCGCCCGGGGGCCTCATCGAGGGCGTCGCCGGTGCGCCACATGCCATGTTATCGTCTGCGACTCACACGGCGCAGACTACGTGCGCTTGCACGCGGAGCTCGCGCCGCCGCACTGGGTGCGCGCGGTGCGCGCGGGCGACAAGTGGGACGCGGGGTACCAGACGACGGCGTACTTCCTCGACTGGGTCGAGGCGCAGGCGGGGGCGGGCACCGTGCGCGCGCTGAACGCCGCGTTGCTGGACAGGGAGTACGAGGAGGCGGTGTTCGCGCGCCTCGGGGGCGCCCCGGTGGGCGAGCTGTGGCGGCGGTATAAGGTCGCGCTCGGCGCGGACGGCGGCCCCGATGAGGACGAGGGGTTCACGTTAGTGTGAGTCCGTTGCGGCTGGGTGGAACTTGATTCATCGTGTTTGCTTAGACCGAGCTATAACCCGGTGTATGTCTGAGGCCGTCCGGGTTTTCATCGTGCTTTCTTCAAGCTTTGCTTCCCAGCGGATTCTATCTATGCTTTACAGTGCTAGTACGGTCTATCTATCACTATTGTATCTAACACATCCAGTCGAGGCAGTGAAGACTCCGTGAATCGTCTTGTTGCTTCGTCCCGTTTACCTCTGGCAGCCCGTCAACTAGGCCATTCGCTTTCTTGCACTCATCTTCATGCTCATCCATCCTCTATCTGCCACCACTAACGGTTTGCTGGACTGCTGCTTTGGGGGCGTATAACACCGCAAGGCTGACAATATCCTCGATTCACGCACGCCATGCACCCGCGAGACCCAAGACCTCCAAAAGTGAGGTCGCTCCCACAGGTACAGTCAAGCAAGGGCTCTTTCAGTTTATTCGGTTCTTGCTGGAGCACGTATTCCAACCCTTATAAGCCCGGTCACTTGGCACAGTTTCAGAGTCTGTTATCCAGCTTCTCTCTGTTACGCCTGCAGTTACTGCACTCTTCTGGATACGGAGGCCCTCAGACCTCTCCCTCTCCCCTGACGACTCCTTCCTATATCATATTCAAAGTTATCTGCCTTCCTTCAAAGATCCACCTCTTCCCTCAGGCCAGTGACTCATTCAAACTTTCCACCCAAGAGGAAACCCATTTCTATAGCCTTGAGGTTCAAGTTCAATAGGCCAGCCACATTCCAAGTTTCAACCCTTAAAAGGGCATACTTTCCGAGTGCCTAGAGATGGGGCAAGCTTGACATGGGTGAGATGGCCGAGCGGTCTAAGGCGCCAGACTAAGGATCAGCTTCATTGTGAAGCACCGACTACTTACGTAATCTGGTCCTCCGGGGCGTGGGTTCGAATCCCACTCTCATCATTTTGCTGCTCATTTTTCCTTTTTTTAAGGCGTGGGCTTGAATCCCATCCTTTTTGTGCTCTTCCTAGTATAGTTGCTGTGTCGATGTCCACTGACGAGGGCATGGATTAGAAGCACTCAAGAACTTTTGCCTGGCACTTGCAAGTGCCTGGTCAGTGGTCGAATACCGGCAGGAAGACATGGGATTGTAGGGTGCACGCCATGCTTGTCTCACTGGCCATGTATGCAGTGGTAGCCCAAGAAAAAAGACTGATTTCTGAATGAGTCATGAAAGTATGAGAAATTTGTTTACGGGTCTAGATTCTGGTAGCCCCCGCTCAGGATCGTGATTCGCGGCTACTCCAGTTTGGCTGCAGTATTTACATGTGGATATGGACACCACTTTGTATTCCTCCGTTCCCGAGACAGACTTGGTCTGATTATGAACTTTCATCTAGAGATCTTTGTATACAAAGCAACCGATAATATCCCGAGTACAACACCTTTACTTTTCGTCAGGCTCCTCCCCGAACATTATTTTGAGGTTCTCCATGCTCTCCGGGTCAGTACGAGCACCTCCCGATCCGCTTCCTCGGAATGCCTCCTTAACGATAGCTGTCTTCCGTTTCTGTATGCGAAGTATGCGGCCCTCAATGGTGTTCGATACCTGTGGACCGTTGCTACAGTGAGAGTTGATACGTGAACCATCCGACGCACGATAAAGTGCTTCACGTAGACCGTCTTCTCCTGTCCGATCCGGTGGACGCGGTCGATGGCTTTGTGGTGTTAGTATGGTGCGAGGAGGTCAAAGGAATATCAGATACCTTGATTCTCGGTAGCTTGATTCCACCAGCAATCCATCTTTAAACAATCGTTAGCGCTGACTTCGGTTTGTACAGGCGACGCACCATGAACACATGGTTGGCGGTGGTCAACTGCGGAGGGTGATTGAGTATACAGATTACAGATTGGGAATTCATTCACATTTAGTCCTACCCCACCCGCCTTCAAACTCACGATCAACACTTTCGGTCTCCGCGTCGAGGCCCGGAACTCGTCAAGGGCTATCCCTCTCTTCTTGACGTCCATGGAGCCATCAAATCGATACTGCTCGAAGTGTTCACGCTTCAGCACGACCTCAATGAGGTCCAAGAACGAGGTGAACTGGGAGAACACCACCGCGCGAAAACACGGGTCCTGCTCGCGCAGCTTTCCTGGGACGAAGGATAAGGTGGATAGCATCTCATACCCCGGGGCACGTACGCAGATTGTCGACTAGGGCATCGAGCTTCGTCGATGAGCGAAAGTCGTTTTTTCCGCAGGAGTACACTGGGTTCTGGATCCTGCGAGCTGGTGGGTGGCCGGTAAACCTCGATGAGGTCGCTTTCCTGTGTTTACACATCAAGAAGGTCGGATACGGGCAGCTCATAACGAACGTATACTGGCCCACGCGAGCAGTTCGGGCACTTGGAGTCGTCAGAGTTGGCCACATGCGCAATTATGCAATCCTTGCAACTGCGAGGGAACGTTTTAGCAGAACGCTTGAGAAAGACGAACACAATGTGGCTTACAAGCGATGCATGCACTCGGGAATAATCATAGGCGATTGCATGACGTCTAAGCAGAGCGGGCACTCCGCATCGGCGCCATCGAGATCAAGGTTCTCGAGCGCTTTCTGCGCGAACACGTTGCTGCCCTCGCCCGCTTGGGTACCCTGTTCAAAGCGCTTGATGAGGTCATTGACGTCTACCGCCCCGTCCCCCTCCTTCGGAAGTGTGCGGTGGTCATCAGACGCAAGCACCAGGTTTGGATGTAGCACGGCGCGTCTCAGCCTGCTAGGGTTGAGGATGCCGAACGCTCACCTGATGGAAGTGACGTACCGCATGAGCATCGCCAGGATATGAGTGTAGTTCTTCCCAACCAGACCCTTTGCATTCAGTTGCTCGAAGTCCCGCTTGGCCGAATTGAATAAACTGTTATATATCTTCCTCTCCATCGACGAAAATTCCAAGTACTCCATGGTAACCTGGGAAGGGATTCAGTGTCGCCCGCAGCTCTAGAATGTACGCACTTCTTTCTGAGGCAATTCGACGATTCGTTTCCCGTTAGTATCCAGCATAGTCTTTTCTCGCCTCAACAAGATGGACTCTAAGATGATTTGCACAATTTCTATAGCTTTGGGATCCCGGGCCAAGAAGGGCAGCGTGATAAAGCTGCGCTTGATAAGGGAGAGATTCTGTGGAGAATGAAGCGGACGTACGAGCGGAAGAAAGAATAGTCAGACCATGGCCTGAAGTCGAGGAATTTCCTGTTGTACGTCAGGAGGATGCAGATCGCCAGAAGGCACGACGGACAAGAGGGAGTACAAGTCTTCCAGTTTATTCACAATCGGCGTCCCTATAAAGCGTTAGATCGGCCAGTCTGGGTCTCTGGATACGCTACCTGTTACGGCCCATCTCCTTCGAGCATTAAGCGCATAGACAGCTTTCGCGGTCTTGCTGGTGCGCGACTTACACATATGCGCCTCATCAAGCACGACACGGAGCCACTCGACTATTACTGAATGAGTCTCGGTTGAGCCCGGGTCACCGATCACTGACTCTCGAACACAGGGGACTTGGAGCTCGACTTTTCCGACTTAGCATGTTCCGAGGCTAAGACGCCGTACGATGTGATGATGACTTTGATCGTCGAGTCCCCGTCATCATCGTCCTCCAGCACGTCCTCCAAGTCGCGCCGGTTCTGCCCGTGCCACAGAAGAACCGTGACGGATCCGGGCGTGCTGCAGCGCTGCAGCTCTCCCTCCCATTGCGACAACAGCGACGTCGGAGCGACGATCAGCGTCGCAAACGGTGCCTTTTGCGCTTTGTGGCGGGGGACCTTTTTGAAGGCGTTGTTTAGTTTTAGTTGTCGGTGCTTCGTCGCGGGCACAGGGTCTTCCGCGGGACGCTCGGTATCCGGTGCACAGTTGGTGTGTATGAGAGCGGCCAGTTCGATGCTGCGTGGATATCAATGAGGTTGTACAGAATCTGAAGACGACGCATACGTTTTGCCCATGCCCATCTCTGAATTATGACTCTTAGAATCAGGACGATGGAGGAATGATGCAGGACTTTACCATCACTGAAAACCAAGATTAAAGCAAACGATTGAACAGTGTAAGAACGACGAACGCGAGAATTCCTCCCCGTCCCTTTCTTTCTGCCTTTGGGAAGTCTAGACTCAGCTCACCCGAGTACGGATTGAAATAGAATAGTTTTTCATCAGCGGTCAAGTCGATGACCCCTCCGTCATGGGGATGTGGGAATGCGTATCTGAGGCAAAGTAAACGCGTGCAAAGATCAAGGTCGGAAAATGCGTACTGGCTCCATAGCGGATGCATAGAGGTCGCCTCCCGGGCATCCATCTTTCCAAGTTCGAGCGAGTGCATCCATCTGCAGTAAGGTTAGCGAGATAAGACGTTAGAGAAGAGCTTTGACGCACAAGAGTGCTTGCTTCTGATACCCCCGGAGCGTGAAGGTGAAAGTGTCTGGGGCTTCCATCTCCCCCATCGTGCGATCACTTTTCTGCGCTTTTTGATAGATCATGTCGAGATCGTTCTCAGATAGCTCTTCCTCCTCTTCCACCTCGATCTCCTCATCGTCTCCGACGATTTCCGTCACCTTCTTCGATTTACGCGACGCCATCTTCTTGAGCGCCTCCTCCGCAATGTCCTCGTCGGACTTGCTCCCGACAAAGTTGGCGCCCGCATGAGGCCGCAGCCCAATAACATCGAACAGCTTGAGAATCGACGCCTTTCGCTCGCGAAGGGTCTGCTCGTCTAGCGTTTCGGTCCCCTCGGAGAACATCACCGTGGCTTTGTTGCCGTCGGTGTCGGGATTCGAGGGTTTGAAGGCACCAGGAAGCATATACACGTCCGCGGTCACGATGAGTGTCGCGCCAGTGGAAAGCTTCTCTGGGCAGTCCAGCATTTTCCCCCGAAATTCGACAATGCCTGTATCATTTCAGGAGGTTATCTTGCGAGTTTAACAATGTCGACCAACCAAGATCAAGAAGCTTTGCCATCCACGACGATACATCCTGAGGAAGCCGGCCGAATTCTTTACGGTTATAAGTGAGCATTGCGCCTGTCTAAGTCTGCATTCCATACCAAAGCCGCGGGAGTTGTATAGTCGCACAATATTGTCGGTTTTCTTGTTCTTGAGATTCGACTTAGCGGGTTGTTTCATCATTGCTGTGAGAGACATCTGCTTCTTTCCATCTCCAGTTTTCTTGTTCTTCAAACCACTCCCATCTTTCTTTGGGTTCTCCTTGGGCTCTCGCATGATTTTGACCTCCTCGTTGACTTTGATGTAGCCTTTTCCAGAGACGTTGCTCCACGCATGCGCGAAGACCATCTCGCCGATGTATGTCGGTGGAGGATCTGGTTGTGATGGAGGGGATATTCTGCGCTTCTTCGGAGGGGGTTTATGGGATGGGCCAGCTTTGGGTCGGGGTGGCTTGGCCTTTGAGTCGTCTTCAGAATCATCATCTACATAGATGGGCCTCTTCTGCGAGCTGATGATGTCTGGTTGAACTGGGTTCTCGTCGTCGCTTCCCGCGAGACGCGACGAAGCTCTGGACGGCGCAGGGCTCGAGCTGGAAGCCACAGGGCCCTCTAACCCCATAACTACATCATCTTCCTCGTCGTCTGAGCCAGCGAAGAACAAAGGAGGACGCTCAGGAGGCATTTCCGAGTCAGACATGGTGGTCAACTTGGACGCGTCTGTAAAGGTCTGTAATAAGCGTGACGACGCGTAACGTCACGGCAAGGTCTTTGCCAAGCACCGCGAGACTCAGGAAAAATGCAGCGCGGTCTCCCCATGGTACGGATGACATCCTCGAGATGGAGAAAAGTGCTCCAACCATTTTTAGCAACCCACCGTTGTCCTCCTCCGGGAGGGCACCGATACGTCCCAGGGCAACCCTCAGCTGCTATCCAACATCGCAGCATGTCTCGCCATCTCGGAAACGTTGTCCAG